AAGCAGCCAGTCTCCATGGTTACATTTCATTTTCTTCCGCTGTGTTGTTCTGATCAGAATATAGATGTTTTGGAAATTGTTTGATCATAGCCCTCTCCCTTTGCTTCCCCCCAGCTGGTGTATAGGGATATACTTGAGGACAAGCCAGAAAGCACAGCACCCACTCATGGCCCATTTTTCAGCCATGATGTTTAGGTGGGTGCATGTAAGAAACCAGGGTTATGCCAAACCCTATGTATAAGGAAGGCTTCAAGGAGCACAGGGAGGGGTCACTCAGGGAGAAATAGCTGAGGGGTCACTCAGGGAGAAATCATCTGCCTGCAGGGGTGGATCCAGGGGGAGGAGTGGTACAGTTGCACCCCCTTGGATTCCTAATCTACCCAAAGTTTAAAACCTCCTGCCTGGTAGTGGCAGCAGCATTACTATTCAGGCAGCAGTGAGGGAATCACTTGACTTTGTGGCTCATCATTATCTACCTGATTCCTTTTAAATGCCGCATTCCACAGGTATTAGTGACCCCCTCTCCTTTTTCATGGCCTTGAAGTTCCACTAGTTAAGCTGTTCTTTCTTCTGCAATTCTGCTATCTACTAACTACTCCTGGTAATGTAGCTCCTATTTCACAGCCCTGAAGACTATTTTTAACTCTAGCAAAAAGCATTCATTCAAGTATGGAAACATGAACTCAGGTGAACATTAACTCAGATGTGGAAGTAACTTTCAGCAAAGCTTTAAATGAACTGTCAAGATTCACAAGAAGGCTAGAGTTCGTTTTTATGACTCTGAAAGAGTTGTACATTTAATTCTAATAACTACAGGACTAAGGAACCATCTTTTGATTATTTTTGCCTCTTTGGTGTGGGTTTTTTATACATATGATATTGCAAATTAATACACGTTCCTATAAAGTTATATTTGTTTTTGCTTCGATCTTAAACTGAACAATAGAACCCTAAGCTCTTAACATATTAGCAAAGCTTCTAATTTCTTCTTACCTGGAAAAAATGTGTGTTGTGTTATATGTGATGATGCACCACACCATCCGTACTTTCTTTTCAAAATCCTAGATCTGCCCATGCTTGCCCGTGTTGTTCCTCTAAGAAACCTCTCCCTATGTGCTCTGCAAATTATTCCAGAAGCTACTCCTTCTTCAGCCTGTTTCCAGGGAGGAGCACCCTCCACGGACCTCAGACCCCTGCAACTCTTTTCCCTGCTTTCCTCACTTTCAGAGGGACTTTATGGCTTGTTTATTTACTCTGCTTTGTGGACAGTAATTTCTCCATTTTCTATTGCCTCCTCGCTGTTAGCTTCCTCAAATGATGTCAGGTCAGGGAATTCTTTACCGGTCTAGGGAAGCTGCTGCAGTTATGATAGATCCTTTCTCCACTCTTCCCTTTCCTTCCTGGCTTAGCCAAATGTTCTCATGCTTCTTACTGGTCACCTATGTTAGAGGAGAGTCGGGCTTAAATAGACACTGGGGCTAGAAATTCCTGAACTTTGTGTTGTTCTCTCAGTACCTCACACTGAAGTAATGGCTGGTCTTCCACATCCACCTCCTGGGCAACCTTGCCAGTTCATGCTGGCCAAATACATCTGCAACAACAGGATAGAGCCACTCTGATTCAGGGACAGAAGTCAAGCAGCCAGTAGCTAGAGATGAAGAAACGAGAAGCAACAAAGATACTCTGCTGCTGTTCAAGGAGCTGGTGAGCTTGCAAATGTGAGTGGCCCCTCGTGGAAGGTTAGTGTGATATCTGGTTGCATTAGTTATCAAGGCCATAAGAGAGGGCAGGGAACCAATTCTAACGTGGAAGTCCTCATGGCAGATACAGACAGAAGAGATGCAAACTGTCAGTGCCAACCTGAAGCCATGGCTAACCCTAACTTTGTGTAAGCAGAAGAGCTCAAGATGTGCTACAGCATTCAAGGGAATGCTAAGCTCCATCCAGTCAGCAGGAGAAACTCAGCCAATGCTTCTGGTTGATCAGGTAATTGTCACAGTGAAGACAGCAGAAAACTGCATTTAGGATGCAGAATCCAGTGCCTTGTAACTGTGCCTAAACTGAAGATGAATAACTTGACACAGAAAGCACAGAAGGGTGACATAAGCCTCCTGTATTACAAAAGGCTGTTCCAAGAATAGGCTAAGCAATATTTGGTCCTGATGGGAGGTTTCAAGTCATAATGGTACCAGCATGAACTTAGTTGTTCTGGGAGCAGGCAGTGGGTATCTGTGCACTGCTAAAGAAAGCTTGGCTCTTTGAGCCCAATCTGAGTCAGAGAAGAGAAAGTCAGCACCAATGCACACAACTTGGATCAGAACAGAACAGAACATTGTTTATGTTAGGTGGGAGTAACTGTGGCTTGTATTTGACACATTTTCCAAGAGGGAGCCTTCCCTGAGGTAAGCACAATACAGTTGACTCTTCAGGATAAGGCAGCTAGTGAAGGTCAAACAAGACCAAAAGTAATTTATGGTCCCAGATTTACCCATTTAAGCTGCTATAATTGTACATCTTACTACAGAAGATGTGAAGTGCAATCAGCTAACTTGTTGCACTTGATGGGTTCAGGAATAAATGTCAACTGGAATGTGCTTAGTTTACTTTGGGAATTAGACAGGGTTGGGCCTTCTTGAGAGTGGCTACTACATTTTTTCTTCCAAATATCTACTTCGGGTTGGAGGCTTAGCTGCGAAAGGTAGCTTGTCAAGGTGTCAGCCACACGATGTGTAGCAGCTTGGGCCAAGGTAGTCATGTACATGTAATATGTAAACGACTGGAAATTGGTTGGATGTATGTGGTTACTGTATCCCACTGTTAACGGGGGAGAAGAGAATGTTGATGTCTCAAGAAAATGAAGGACAGTAACCCTCAAAGAAAAGAAGGCAGAGTATTTACCAGTTTAAATGCCTCAGGATTAAGGGTGGAATTCACAAAGCATTTAAAGTTGATTTAGCGGTTACACCCAGAAGCACCCCCTGCTCCCTCCCATTTTAGCTGAGTGTCTAGGTATCTTGCCTACAGCCATTCATGATCTCCAAACTAACTATAGCTTTGCCTAAGACCCCTGATAGGTCTGAGCTAGTAGATATGCCTTGAGCACACCTGACAGCACTAAGGACCCCTAGCCACTTCTACAACAGTGGTGATAGAGGTGCCCACCACTACTACTGTCTTGAAAGAACAAGGAACCATGATGGGCTGAAAGCTTAGGCACTTAACTCTAGGCAGTGGTTTCAAGCCATGAACCCCCTCTCTTCAGCACTTCCTACTGGCTGGCTTAAATGAGTCCCTGCTCAGCGTGCTGGTTTTTATGGATTTCATTCTCAGACAGCCACACATCTACCTGTATATTGAGAGAGGAAATACTATAGTGTCTAAAGTTCCCATTTCAGATCTAGCCTTAAGCCAGCCAGTGACCAATAGGCAGGAGGTCAGCTCTAACAGTTTAGATGGTACAGATGTGTGCTGATAATAATGAATGCTACACGCCATTCAGTCCAGTCAAAACTTAAGTACCTTCTTTGGAGGGCATGTCTCAGCAAGCCAGCCTCATCTGTGAGTGGAAAAGTGAGGTCTGTAATTTACTGTACTAAACTTCCCTGTTGTTTTGCTTGCTAGGCAAAACTGTAGTGCCAGTTATTAGTTTAAGAGGTTGAAGTCACATGAGACAACGTAAATATAGATTATCTCTGATAATCACATCTAGCCTACTCTCCCCATTGCTATTAGGACTTTATCCCAGAACAGGGAAATGATGGACCTGAATTCTAGTTCAGAAGGCCTTTGGAGGGAATAATGTAGGACAGAGAACTAAGTTGGACTTCACTGCTCACCTCCACCCCCCCACCCCCAATGTCAAACCGAGGGTGCTTATGCTAAAAGAAACTTAAGTCATGGAACCATATAGATAGGTAGGGCTGGAAGGACCCTCCAGAGGTCACCTAGTCCAACTGCCTGTCTGAGGCAGGATGATCCCTTTCCAAACCAGCCCATAATCTAAACTCTACCTAAGTCCTTTATACAGTGAGGCATTCAACATTCCTACTGCTGTTCTTAAAGAGTGTTTGGCACACACCACAGAAGTTTTGAGAAAACAATAGTATTAATGAAGCACTGCTTATCTCCAAGTTTCATTGATTGTTTACAGCTGTTCTAAAACCAACACCCACATGAGAAACTATGCATTTCAAAAAACAATTTAATACTGAAACAGACTGTAAGAGTGAAGAGTCTGCTCCGTGTAAGGAGCTGTTGTACACAAAATAAATAAGTTACAGTTTAAGCAAAAGTACAACTGTTTTTTAAAGTGCATTTGTATAAGGCCTTTAGCCCATGAACTCAAACTCCACTGGCTCAAAGTAAAAATGTAAGTCTGCCATGTGTGTAAAGAGTAGGGTCTCAGCTGACAACAAACTCAGCTTCATTGCCCAGAACCAACAATGTTTATCATCTACAAATTGAATCCACAAACAAGGACTCTTTCTATGTCTGCTCTATAGAAAAAAGAGCAAGGGAAATTAAGTTTCATCCTGGCAGTTAAGAACTGTCATTCAGCACTTGGATGGGAAAGCCACAGTGCTTTATCAGTTGAGCACATTTGAAAGTGAATCTGAACAGTATTTTTCATACAGTAAAAAACAAGTTATTGTAATAAAAGTACATTTACACCCTGTGCATAACAGATCTATGTACAAAAAGTCCAGTTAAGCTGTCATTAACATAGCTAGTAAAAAGAGAATAGTACTGTTTACAGTCATAAAACCCAGTCACGTCCACTCATTTAACACTTACTTCACAAAGCAAGTTTGTATTTGTGCTTTAAAATACATGGGTAAGACTGTACTGCACAATAACACAGAGAGCCATGTCATGCTGTCCCTCATTCACTTCTGAAAACAAGCTAAGCTAAGTGGTTACTTCCAAATCAGTAAGCTTAAAAAAAATAAATAAATAAAAAAAAAAATCAGTTTAAAAGGGATACATGGTCATACAAAACATCAAGCTAAGCTTGTCCCACCACAGGAGAGAGAGATAAGATTTGTTTTACTCATTGAAAAGTTCTGTTTCAAAACAAAGGTATGTGTTCTACCACTTGGATCAAGAACCACTTCAGAAGCTCATTCAGGTTCAACTTCATTTCTCCTTTAACTTCTTATTTCTACAGTGATTCAAAAGAACATCTGAACCCTGCTTCTTTCATACATGTTCCTTGGACTCTACAGTGCCAGTGGTTAAACTTCCACAGCTGGACCTTAAAAACCAAGTGGTGGGAAGACAAAAGCCCACCAAGCTTTACTTTCAAACAGAAGTAACAGTCCTCACTTTAGCAGACAAAGCTTGCTTGAATCTTCTCTTGAGATCCTGCATATTGGGAGACTTTGGCCTTGGTATGAGAGAGGTTCTTCTTCTCTCAGGGGTGCTGGTTATTTGTTGTTTACTAACTTCTTTACAGAGGACATGGAAGGCATTGAAGACATCATTATAGTTTTCACTGACAGACACTTCATAAAAAGCACAACCCAGCATGTTGGCCAATTGAAGTCCATGCTGTGGCTCTACTTCTTTAATATGCAAGAGATCCGCTTTGTTTGCTACAATGACAACAGGGATAGCGTTTCCTGGATGCAACTGTCGAACGTGCTGGTGAAGGTAACTAAGCAGTTCATAGCTCTTATAATCTGTGATGGAGAAGACAATCACAACAGCATCTGCCCATCGAATGCACCTGTTCAACTGTTCATTACAATCTGGAGTGTGTTCATGGATCTAAAAGAGGAATTCAGATATATTAGATTGATATGATACATTTTTTCCATCTTTAAAATTTAGTCAACTACAGTCAAATGCATTATCCAACACACTTGTAGTTCAGATGACAAAAATAAATAAATCAAGCTCTATTTTCTTTGTACTTGAACTATGTTGCTCCAGCTGCAAAAAGCTGGAACATGAAGCTGGAGTTTGCCACACTCAAGTGGAAAACTGACCCGAGCAGTTCTGCAAGCAGAGCAGGACTTTGTAGCTCCACAGAATGGGAAATTAACTGGCTAGACAGCAAGTCTAGGGAAGCAGAGATAGGAGCTGGAAGCATTTAGACCTGGAGAGCTGCCCAGTTCAAAAAGGCAAAAATGCAGTGTTATTCAGGTCTATACATTCAAACTTTGTGGTACAAAATGTATAGCATTGTAAAGACTACAGCCACAATACTGTGGGATTTTAGTTTATATTGTGCAGATCTGCAAAACCCCACCATTTCTTTGACAGCATCAAGGAAGTTTTTCCTACCAGATTTCTAGAGTACATTTCATATCGGCACAAAAATACCATGTTTCTTTTAGCAAGCGTTCTGAACACATTTGATTGAATATCGTAGATTAATCCTGCCTGGATCCCCTACAAACCTGTAGCTCTTCAAGCATAACAGAATAGTGGGTTGTTTCTTTTCCTGGCAATGCACTAGACATACAAGGCATACAAGTTTTGACCATTTATAAGCTGGGTTATCATCTCTCCCACTGGGAAGTACTTGATTTTGAATGGTATGTAGAAAGCCTGGTAACCAGCTGACCTACTCCAGTTAAAACAGATATAAAAATTAGACTTATTTTTTCAGTAGTCGAAGGAATGCACAGATATGTTTCTTACCTGAATTCCTGGTGTGTCTTGCACTTGAATAGCAAGGGTCTCTCCGTCTAGTTGGATCTGTCTGCTGTAAAGATTACCTGACAACAGCAAATATTTCATTACAATATGATCACAGCTATCTAGACAGACAAGAATTCCTTGAGAGAATAGGGAGAAGGGACCCCCCCCTCTCCCCCCCTTCAATAACAATGCAGGAAAACAGAAAGTTTATCACTAGCACAATATATGAACAACAGCACTAAGATCTGGCCCATCTTTGACAGAATTGGGGTGAAGGTCGTCTTTGTACGCAATGTCACCAGACCCCTCTGGAGTTAGTTTTACATGGATGTGTTTTTGAGCTTAGTCCCAAGTCTCTTAAAATTAAAAAGCTACCACTGCTTTCCAAGTGACCTTTCAAAATTGCCTAAACAAAGGTAACAAGGCAGAGCAACTTATGACAGGAAAGCAATGTCCTCACGCGTCAGCCCTTCTACACTTGAGAAAGTATCTTCTCCAAGGATATTTTTCAGCTTTCTAGCAGCTGACCTTTCAGCTTCGATTCATTATTGTAAAAACCAGAACAGACCCCAAACAACCATTTCCTGGAAGGAGACATCCCTGTTTTATTCACTGGTTTGAGTCTCCTTGAAAACTGCACTCAAATGTTGGGACTCTTGCTTTCCTGCCATAATGTGCATCCTTCTGCATGTGGCAGCCAGTGCTCTTCTGCTCCTCAACCAAGATCGAAGAGAAGAAGGAGGATTCCCAACGCTGCTCTTCACCAGCAGTTGTTAACAAGGGGCACAGGCATCACTGCGCTCGCAGCCTGAGCCGAGATGCAGCCACTAACACTTGTCAGGGTGAAGAGGTTTATTAGCTACAGGGGATTAGGGCTGCACGGCCACCCACCCCACAAGCCAAGCCAGCGGGCAGGCTGCAGGCCATGCAGCCCCACTGCAGACACCCTCGGGTGGAGATGACCGGCCAGCAGTTTCCCAGTGCCCGGGAAAGGAGGGGGCTGCATTTTCACGTGGGCTTTGCCTAGGAGTCAAGAGCGGGCGCCGGGGCCGGGGCTTGTCTGGAGCAGGGGACCCGCGCGGTCCCCCGCACTCGGACGGGGCGGAGGCGGGGGCCGGGGGTCTCACCCGCGTTCCGCTCGTAGTCGCCGATGAAGCGCCGCGTGAGAAACCGCACCACCAGCGCTGCGGGTCAAGGAGACGGCTGTTAGTCCCCCGCGTCAACCCCCCGC